CAATTGACTACGAGCCGAGACAGACTATGGATTTTATGTACGACCAAGGGGGTAGGCTTTGTAAACCCGCCAAAACGTGGAAACCCGAAATTGCGTTGAAAAGCACCGCCTCACTGGAAAGACGTGGAGAGGGCATAGTGTAAAAACAAAGCAAGAATGTGTCACAGTAATAACAATGTAATGTTATGATGGTGACGAAGTAAGTAAAAAAATAAACAAAAAAAGATACGGACGAAAAATTCTTACCGGTGCTCACGACTGCCGCATATTCAGGGATATCCAACTCAGCGAATTCTTCGTCACTTCCCATCAGCGGGGCAATATCTGACTCGTCGAATTCTTCGTCACTCTCCATCAGCAGAACACCGAAGTCAATGCTGCTTTCTTGATCCATTCTAGAACATATTTGAATTTTGACCCCATGTGGAGCACAAACAAGCAAACAAAATACAATCGGCACTGTGGCACGAATGGAGTCGTTGATATGCATGGCGCATCCCCACAAAGTAGTCAACGGCTGAGACAAGTACCGCATGCAAAAGAGCAGAGCAATAACTAGTAATAACCATTATGTCGTACAAAAAGGACATCATGAACTAATTCGTGTGGATGCGCCACGCATATCAACGACTTCCATTCATTCTAGTTCTTTCCGCAAGAAAGCACTGTTCGAAAAACATACCTCAAATGAAGTGGCGTGCAACCAAGGAATCGCTGGATTCTGTGCAGAGGTGCTTTTTACCTGAAATCAACGACCCGCAAAAAATATCTCGAAAGAAACCATATACATAGGAAAAAACCAGAGAAACCTTATAAAAACACCTCCATTAACTAGTTCTGAGAACGGAAGTTTGATGGCGGACCATACCTTTCTAGAGAGTGAGCAGCTTCTGTCTTCTACGGAACGACTGCAGGTTCAAACCCGTGTCCGGCAACTCTGAAAGAACTATCTCAGGAAAAAAACCGTGACTCATAAAGAAAAAACGACGATCTTGAAGGAAAAAAACTCAACTGATTAGTCCCCACCAGAAAAGTATTGATAAAGAAGCATACCTTGGGAGAGGTGGTAAATCCTAATTTTACAGGGCAACTGGCGATACTTATCACCTGAAACTAACACCTCTCAATTCTCAGGTGAACCATAACTCACAGAGAAAACGAAAGAAAAGCAGCCATCCATTGCGCTTTAGGAGAGAACTTTGGTAGAATAACATACCTTTCAGGGAAGGTTGCAGACTGCTTTCTTCTGCGAAGCAACTGTACGTGCTTCCTGTGTGGACCCAATGATTCTGAAAGAACATTTTAGGACAAGCGTTATTCATGAGGAAAAAACGACAAGCTTATAGAATACATGAGCTATTTAGTTTTTA